TCACTGTTACAATCTTTCGTTGCAAGTTATCATACTTTAGTTATATAATTTCTTTAATTTCCTGCCTTAATTTTTCAAATTTCTGGTTCATAGTCTCATGATATTTTGCCATTTCCTCCTGAAGGAATTCTTTTAAGTTAAAACCATTCTGCAGATCTGTAGGCTCAAAGCTTGTTCAAACAGTTGTGAGTGGGGGAGCACCCCCCCCGCTTGTCTATCAGACTTTATAAGTTTTAACGCCATCTTGCCAGCAAACTCTTTTTTTCCCCCCCAAACAAGATCAAGTACAAATCTCCAAGAAGAAAGGAACTTAAAATAACTAATTTTCTTCCAAATTGTAGCCAGCACTATATATTCCGCTACTTTGTATCTATTATGGAAGGACTCTCACTTTCGGCTTTCTTCTACTTCCCAAGCCTCAGCGGTCGCCATTTTAAAGTTTTTTTCTCTTTCACTCTGAAATGCTTATAAATTCATTAAGGATACTTGCAATTTAGGGTCCCAAGTCCAAGTCTCATCTTTTTTAATAAATCCATCTGTTAGATTCGTTGATTAATCTGGTTCCAGCGCCTAGCTCTGCAAAAAGGCAGAGTTCTCCCGATGCCCGGAGCGACGGCGAGCGGGAATAGGGAGCCTCAACCTGCTCATCCCCAAGAGTTAAAAAAAGCCTCTGGGGACTTCGCAGAGGGCTCTACCTGCCCTCGCCTGCTCTGACTCACATTTCCATCAGGAAATGGAGTTTTTCGAGCCGCCTTTCAGGTGTAAAGGCGGCTCTTTACAGGCAACGGGGCTGGCGGTCACGGAGGACCGTCTGGCGGCGCCGGAAGCCAGACAGGAAGCCCTCTATAAACAATTCTTGTTAATATTCAAAGCTTCATTCACAAACCTTTAAAAAAACAATTTCTGTAGTTAGTAATTCTTTCAGCAATTCTTGTTGATAATCAAAAATTCGTTCATCGTCTTCATATTTTTTATAATTCTTCTATAATCACATTTTTCCCACTTTAAAAACCACTTCTCTCAATGATAATAATGAAAAGTAAAAAAGGAAAGAAAAAGGGAGAAGAAAGGGATAAAAATATGACAAGAAAAAATTAAGAAGGAAGATTCAAAAAAAAGAAAAAAGAAAAAAAGAGAGGAATAAGATAAAAGAATAATAGGGAATAAGAAAAAAAAGAAAAATAGAAAAGAGAGAAAAAGAAGAAAGAGGATATCTCCTCCTTACATTATTTAAATATCAATTACATAGAAAGCATTTACATCCATCTTAATCAGACTATAGCGCTTTTCTCAACTTGCTACCCAATATATTCTAGTTTTTCCCTTTTTCTATTCTGTCCAAGCTCTTTTTTTCCTTTTTGATTCCAATATCAGTAAGCTTGTAGAGACTAAAAGACTTAGTTCTTTTTTTTTTTGAAAAAAGTTTTATTTTTAGATTAAAATAAAAAAATACAAATAAAAAAACACAACAACAACAACATAAAAATATCATCCTTACAAACAATTATAGACAGCATCTCAATCGGTTGAAATCATTTCGTGCTTACAATTCTCCAGATCTCCTCATATAACAATTATTCTTTACTTAAACTGAAGATAAATATTTAAACATTTCATATATGCTTTCTCATCTCCATACTTTTTGTCAAACCATTGATAAAATATCTCCCATATCAAATAATATTGTTTATCTTCCTGTTCTCTTATTTCAAATGTCAATCTACTCATTTCAGCACAGTCCAACATTTTCATAATAATTTCTTCATCAGTAATTATCTTTTCTCCTTTCCAGTTTTTGGCAAATACAATTCTGGCCGCTGTTAAAATGTTTACAATTAAGTATTGTAATTCTTTATTAAATGTCTCTGGTAAAATTCCTAATAAAAATATTTCTGGTTTAAAGTCAATATGTCTCTTTGTCATTTTTTCTAACCACGTATGTATTTTAGTCCAAAATCTCCTTGCTTCCATGCATGTCCACCACATATGGTAGTACGATCCTGGAGTTTGATGACACTTCCAACATTTCTCCTATTTATTCTTAAACATCCTGGCTATTCTCGTTGGGGGTAAATGCCACCTTTATTTATTTATTTATTTTTATTATTTTATTTGATTTCTATACCGCCCTACTCCCGAAGGACTCAGGGCGGTGCACAGCCAAACAATAAAATACATACATACAAAATTTAAAAGTGGAATTAAAATCAAATTAAATAGTTTTGGCCCAGACAAATTAAAACCCCAATCAATTTAAAACCAATTTTAAAATTTAAATATATAAAATATTAAAAAATATTAAAAATTAAAAATCTTTTATAAAAGAGGGAGAAAATTAGGCCAGGCCCACCTGTAAAACATCTTATACAAATTCTCTTTATATGCTGTTGACATTGTCATTTTATAATTATGTGACCACAATTTTTGCCATTTCTCTAAATCAATACTATAACCAAAATTTTCCCCCCATGCTATCATTGATTCTTTAACTTGTTCTTCTTCCAGTTTTGTTTCAAGTAAATAACCATATAACTTTTTAATTACATGGTCATCTGAACCCATTAATATTTTGTCTAAACCAGTCGAAACACTATAAATATCTTCTTGTATAAAATCTTCTCGATATCTGGAAAGTATTTGCATGTATGAAAACCAATCTATCTTAATTCCCTGATCTTCTAAGTTTTGTTTCAATTTAAGTTCACCCTTTTCGTCCAATAATTCATTATATCTAACAATTTGCTCCCCTTCAAATACCACTGGATAAGAAAAAGCTTCAATTGTAGATACCCAGACTGGAATCTTCAAATAATGGTATTTTTTGATCTTCTCCCATGTCAAAAACAAAGCTTCACGTATCTGGTGCCTTCTAAAATACCCCTGAATTTTAGTTCCTTTATACCATAAGAAAGCATGCCATCCCATCAGCAAATCATGTCCCTCCAAATTTAATAATCTAGTATTTTTCAATGTTACTAAAGACTTAGTTCTTTTGTGTTCCATGTATGGTATCATCTTGTCTTCTTCTGCTGCTACATCCTTCCTTTTTATTGGCACACCATTAATCAGCAGTTTTAATTATTCCAGATAATTCCTTCTTTCCAACCATCCATAAGTAGTCCAGAGTCAAATTAAGTGCATCTAAAGTCAAACCTCTTTAGTTTTTCTTCAAGGTAATCCAATTTAGGAAGCAAAAGTCAAAGTTTCTCCTTTAAGTAGCAAGCAGTCCACAATTTACACTTTCATTTCTTCTTAATAGGCAACCATTTTAGCTTCCTCCGCTTACATCTGCTTAATCAGTTTAAATTGTTCCTTCTCATTTCTTCTTTCTTCTTTCTTTCCTTCATACCACCAAAGAACAAATTAAAAATCCCCAAAGTTGAACCTCCTTAATTGTTTTCATAATAAACCAGCTTAGGTAGCAAGATACATTGTGTCTGAGTCAAACCGAAAGTAATCCACAAATTTAAATTTTCACTCCTCCATGACACGACTCCATTTTAGCCAATATGCAATTCTCCGCTTGGCTTTTCTGATTGTTTCAAAAGGTTTCTGCTCAACGCCTCCTCCCTCCTTGTCTCTCCAAAAGCAATCCATATCCATAACGAAAAGTTTCAAAGTTTTATAGTTGCCAGCTAGCAGTCATTTCACAAAAATCCACATTAAAGATAGTTCACAAATGGGTCTCTTCCTCCAGCACATAGCTTATCTAAATCTTCTTGTCTCCACAGTCTGTAGCCGCTATTTAAGGCTAGGGGCTCTCTTGTCAAAATCCATTTTTTAACGCTGTTCCTGCCTGGGTAAAACTCACTTACCCGGCTTCCAAACAGTTTGCTCTGTTTCCTTGCTTCTTCTCCTGCACATTACTTTCCCGGTTGTCACAGCCTTGAGGCAGCTGCCATGGCTGCTGCTCAGCCACCGCCGATGCAGAGGGTAATCCTCCAGCCCCGAGGAACCTGCCCGTTTCTCTCGGCCGAACGAGGGGACAGGGGAGGTCCGTAGACCTGCCAGCGGGGGCTTAACAGACGGGGTTTTCGCGGGGCTCGTTAGAGCCCCACTATTTCCCCCGTCAGGATCGCCGCGACGCCAACTAGAAGGAATTATCATTACTTTTGTTTTGTTTTGTTAATACAATGATAGCATGATTAAAAACCAGAATAGAGGTAGAAATAAGAACACAACTTTTATATAAAGCTAGAGTTAGATGGAAAGTTTGGAGGTTGAAAGGATTAGTAATGATGGCCTGATTAGAATAGAGGTAAAAATAAGAAATAGGGAGAATATTAGCAGATATAATTTTTATATAATAGAAGTAATCATTAGATGGAAAGGTTAGAGGTTGAAAGATGGTATGACTATGTATGCTTAAGAATATCATTGACATTAAAATGGAACATTGAAATAATGAATAACTACTCTAAAAATAATCATGTATATCAATACTAGGATTACATAAGATTGATTAATGCGACAACTATTATTATTACTATTATTGCTGTTTGTATCAAAATGAATTATACCCAGAGGCCACACTGTTCATGTATTGATATTGATGTATATTTTAAAAATCCAATGAAACTTAAAAAAAAAAAAAAAGGAAAAGAGGCAAATGCCTGAAACTTCATTCTGTATACATCTAGGGGTAGGCATAATACTGAAGAAGTGTCTCCAAGTTTGCCATCTTACACTCCCCACTAGTTCCATTTGATCAGATATTATTATACTTGCCACTTACCTGCCCACTTTCTCTGATCAAGGACCTTGGGATCTTCTGTCTGTTGCTCAAGCACATCCACATTGCTATAGATTCCTTTCCACGATGCCATCTCATAGAAATGCTCCCCGCAAAACGTGCTGTGTAAAATGTGTGCCAACTAATCAAGTTCTGTGCGCATAAAGTGGAGGATCCCATAATAACTGACTGGCTGATATGAAGGAAATGAGGCAGGAACTATTTAAAGGTCCTGGATGCCAGAAAAATACAAAGAAAGCTCTTTCTAAGCTGAATAAGGAAAAAATGTATATCCTACCAAGCTTGTTGATCAAAATGTGAAATCTTCAGAATGGATTGATACAAGTTGGACAGTTAGAAAGAGTTCTAAATTGAACTTAAAAATTAACATGAATGAAAATGAATAAATAAGTGCGTGCACATTATGTTTCAGAGTTTAAAAATATTTCAATAAAGTATTTGTAACTAGCCACATATGATTGCAATCTGTATGACATAGGTGCCCAGGGTTTAGCACAGATTCAGAGGCTGGAGATACAGTCCAAGACTTAAGAAGGGCCCTAGTTGGGTTACAGAAAATGGTAGAAGTCTCAAGCTTGGTCTCTTGGTGTAATGTTTCTGGCATTACACTGGCACTGTTTCCAAACAGTGAGTGCTGGCAGACTTTCTGAATGATAGACAGTTGTGCAATTATAGAATTATAGGGCTAGGAAGGACCTTGGAGATCTTCTAGTTGAACTCCCTGTCCAAAGCAGGAGTCCTTACACCATCCAGGACAAATGATGCCCAATCTTTTCTTGAAAACTCCAGCAATGGAGCATCCACAACTTTGGGGAGCATGCTCTTCCACTGATTAACAGTTCTCAATGTCAATTAAGTTCCTCCTTAATTCCAGGTTGGATCTCCCTTTGATGAGTTTAACCCATTGCTTCTTGTCCTGCCTTCTGGTGCTTCAGAGAATAAGTCAGCAGCATCTCAATTACTGGAAGACAGCTATCATGTCACTCCCAATCTTTCTCTTTGTTACGCTAGACAAATCTAGTTCCCTTGTTCATCATACAGTTTAGCCTCTAGACCCCTTATCATCTTTGTAGCTCATCTCTGTACTCTTTCTGAGGTTTCAATATCTTTTTTGTATCATTGTGACCAGACTTGGATGCAACATTCCAAGTGTGATCTCACTAGTGCAGTGTAAAGCGGTACTATCACTTCCTCTGACCTTGATGCTATCCCTCTGCTGATGCAGTATAGGACTACATTGGCTTTTTAGCAGGTGCAGCATACTGCTGCTAGCCCATACTTAAATGGTAGCCCACCAGGATGCCTAGATCACTTTAACAGTTACTGCCGTTAAGCTAGGTACTGCCTATTCTATACCCATTTGTTTTTTCCTGTCTAAGTGTAGGATTTTACTTTTCTCGTCCCTGAACTGCATCCTACTGAGTAGGACCCAATGCTCAAGTCTATCAAGATCCTTTTGAATCTTGAGTCTATTTTCCAACATATTAGCAATTCCCCCAAGCTGGTGCCATCTCCAAATGTGATGAGTTCCTTTTCAATCCCCTCATTTAGGTCACTTATGATGAAGCTTATGAAGAGTTCTGGCTCAGGACATTTACTTCCACTGCTTATTTCCACTGCTTACTTCATGTAGATGTAGTTTAATTGAGGACATACACATTGAGTGCAGTTTGTCAGCCAGTTATGAATCCATCTGGTGGTGATGCTGCCTTACCAAGAAGCAGGCTGTGGTCTACTTTGTCAAATGCCTTACTGAAGTCCAAGTATAATATATCTACAGCAATTATTTGATAAACAATTATCTTATTCCTACAAATTAGTAACAAAATTTGCTGGAAATTTAATGCATTGATAAATGTAATTGCTCTGTTTTGTGGTTTCAGTGAAACATCATGTGCCCTTGCAGGTAAGTAAACACTTTTCTAGACATCCTGGATACTGGAAAGTATTGGACTGATTTTGAGAGCAACACTATTCTAGCAGATGGATGAGCAGGCTGTAGTGGAGACTGGAAAATGTTAGACTAATGTCTAAATTTACATTATCTTACACCAAACATTGCCAGTTACTCTCATATAGTGGTTACTAAGAATAGTAACTTCTTTCCTGTCTTAGAGTTCTGAAGCATAGCTGAGCCTTTATGTTGGACAATTTGAATAATCTTCCCGTTGATGGGCAGCTAGAAAAATGACTGTGGAGGTCACAGGAAAGGTGATAATAGCAGGTCACATTCTTTTCCTGTATTGTCCTTTTTGTAGGTTTAAACAACTTATGCCCTTATCTTGGAGCATTCCATAAGGAAGAGAAGGAAATCTGATTTGTATGCACCTAAACTTTTACCAGATGTATTTTATTTATTAGATTTATATATTTGCAACATAAACCTGGGTGGTTACAAATGATCATTAAAACAATTTAAAAATATTTATTAAATTTATATACTTGCATATAATAACCCTTTGTTGCTCACAAATGACAATAAAAACAGTAAAAAACAGCACAGAAATTCCTCGCACCTCCAATCTGGAAATATTGATATTGGTATCTCCAGCAACAGCAACAGTTACATTTTGGGCCATGTTTTTCTGCTTTTCAATATGCCTAGTTTTTAATAGAGAATTGTATACTTACAGGAATTTTAGAATAGGATTCCAAGTATCTTGATTTTTTTCAATCATTGAAAAATGAGTTTGATGTTTTTAGAGTAGTAAATTGATCTGAAATCTTTTGTGGAAGAAAGAGGAGGAGATTTTTCCTGAAACACTGACCATGGCTAGGCAAATAATAATTATGGATAATAATATTATCCAATAAATTATTCCTTGCACCAACATGCACTCATACTGACACACATCCCATGAATGTAATTCGGGGTGCATCTGTACTACCAGCCTAGAGGCTTCAAAGGGTAGATGTGGGCTGTGTTTAGGGAGGGAGGCAACAGCAGGGGGAAAAGCAGTGAAAACCAGACTGATGAAAAGAGGAGCCTGAACAGAACAGTTGAGAAATGCCAGTGTTTCATGCAGACCACCTCTCCTGGGCTTGCACAGGAAACCCAACTGCATTATCAAGAGAGCTTCTGTTGGGTCTGCTGATGAGAGCTAACTTCAGAATGTGAATGGAGGCGGAAGCAGGCAGCCCACCACATGTCTTCTTATCATCCAGACAGCCTTGTATCCTTTCCCTCTTCCATCCAGCTGATTGAATGCTCACGTTCAAATACACCATCGAAGCCTAACTTTCCCAATGAGGTAAAGTGCCTTCCATTTCCATTCTGTCTTTTCCTGGTTGTCTTCTAGGTACATTACTTTGAAGCTTGTGTTTGCAGCTGGTACTTCTTGAGAAACGAACAACAGTTCTGGAATAGCATTTCCCAGTTTGTGGCCTCTGGACGCACTGAGACTACAATGCCCAGGAACACCAGCCAGGTCTGCCTTTAATGCTGGGACTTGTAACCCCAAATACACAGTTCCATATTTGGGAAGTCTGGCCTGAATAGGCAGCTACAATGAGACTAGTTCTGTTCCTTTGGACCTTTCTTCATACTACTGTGCTAAATATTTATATTCCTATGAATCAAACTAACACAGTAAGTCCTTCTCTTTCCATACTTATTTAATCTTTCAGGTACTCTTTCCTAACCTGGGACCTCTACATGTTTGGAAAGAACTCCTGGAAGATGCTTGATCAATATAGGTGAAAAACAATTGTAGACTGGGTTTCCTTAATATCACTCTCAACTCCATTGGTGCTCAGAGAAAGTGTTCTCCAAAAGATTTTTGTAAGAATCAGGCTGATCTTCTAATGGGAATTATTAGTGGCTAAAGTAATAATTGGTAATTCAGAATTCCCTACTTGTTTCACTTCTGAGGAGACCCAGGAAGAAGCAGGGAAAGGACATAATGATAAAATATTTACTTTACATGACTGCTTCCATGTTCAGTCCAGGGCTAAGGCTGGGGCATCAACTTTATCAGTGTCCTTAGTATTGGGCTAGATAGAACAGTAGCTGTGTCTACAGTTAAAGGAGGTGTAGTTTATTGAATTAATACAATACTTGCATGAAACTCTAAGCCACAAAAAACATTTTAGGGTATTATGCTGTTTAAACTAGCCAATATGGAGCTGCTGCTTCTTTCCCGCTTTTGTCTAAGTATCCCAAGACTCATCCCACTGCTTCTGTCATCCTGAGAACTGAGCAACTTCACCAGCATCCTTCTTTTTATACCATCATAATAGTATTTGCAACCAAGAATAGTTTTTAATATGTAATTGTAGAGGGAATGGTGGAGAACCTTGGTCTTTTCCCCACCCAGCCATTATTGAGATCACAGCACTCGTTTGTTGCAAACTGATCACTGACACAGCCATTTCTTGGTAAGATAGAAAAATATGGGATAGAAGCATCACCACCAGATGGATTCATAACTGACTAACTGTTAAGTGTGGATCAAATGAAGAGGCAGGACTCGCAGATCAGGCAAACAGCTCTTTTATTGAAGGCTGGTACAGGAATGAAGAAGTGCTGAGCTGTCTGGCAGTCTGACAGCTCAGGCACTGAGATCCTTCAAATTTATCTCCTAAAGCTTGAGCCAATCAATTCAAACCTCCAGTTCTCTTGCCTGTCAGGCGGACCAGAGGGAAACCTTTGCTCAAGGTTCATTATCATATTCAACACTAACCAACAACATTCAGCATATAGAAACATTGAGGAACTACATTTACATGGAGGGAAGCATACAATGGGGTGCATTTTTTATTTAGATGATGGGATACAAGGGGAATTCATCAAATTTGCAGACAGCAAGCTGGCAGGAATAGCCAACACTCCAGGAGATAGGTTCAAGATACATAATGATTTTGAACACTGGATTTTAGCTAGCAAAATGAAATTCAATTGTGAGAAAAGTAAAATTCTAATTATAGGCAAAAAAAAAAAAAGCAAATGGATAGGTATAGAATACATGGTGCCTGGCTCAACCAAAAAATACAAAGTATTCCAAGACTTGAGGAGCAGTCACAAAGAAGAGGGGGTCAACCTATTTTCCAAAGCACCAGAAGGCACAGCAGGAAACAATGGATGGAAATAAATCTAGGAGAGAGGCAACCTAGAACCAAGGAGAATTTTCCTAACCATGAGAACAACTAACCAGTGAAATGGGTTGCCTTCAGAAGTTGTGGGTGCTCCATCACTGGAGGCTTTTAAGAAGAGACTGGACAGCCACTTGTCTGGAATGGTATAGGATCCCCTGCTTGAGGAAGGGGTTTGACTAGAAGACCTCCAAGGTCCCTACCAACTCTTGTTATTCTGCTAAAATGCCAATGCAGTCCCAGCTTGCATCAACAGATGGATAGTATCAAGATCATGTGAAGTGTTACTACCGCTTTATATTGCACTAATAAGACCACAATTGGAATACTGCATCCAGTTTTGGTAACCATGATAGAAAAAAGAAGTTGAGACGCTAGAGCAGTGGTTCCCAACATGGAACCCATACCCCACAGGGGGGCAATTTGATTTTTAATGGGGGCAATTAAAAAATGAGCTATTAACTGAATTTTTGAAAGCCCGCTAATTGTTCTTATATATTTGTGATGAAACAGCTGTGTTTCATTTACCCATTGTTGTCTTTGTTAAAGTGCATTTCCTATGCACTTGTCTGAAAAGGATATCCCAGTTAGGGGGAGGAGGGAGCAACTGCCAGCCAATCAGATGTGTTCCCACTAAGGAACATGGGACTCTCTCTCTTTCTTTCCTGTGGGCTTTGCTGCTGGGTGGTTACAGAGAGAGCTGCTCTGTGGAGAGACAGAGTGGATGGCTGTTGGGGGAAGCCCAGCAGTGAGGATACAGAACCAGGACCCAAGTTTAAGTAAGAAATTGTTAGATTTACAGTTATTTTTAGTCTGTGTTTTCCCAGGCTGTGTTTTACATGACTTTTCCTCTCAGAGCAATCTGGGGCTGCGTAGTCCCAAATGCGTAGGCCTTGCCAGGCCTGTGCGATTCACCTACACCTACTGAACTACCAAAGCATTTCCCCACTAAGCTGCAGGTTCAAACCAAGGGGGGAGGGTCATAATTAGTTCATGACAATCTTATTATTTATAAATTAAGCTAAGAATTTCCCTCTTTCTGTGCCATCTTTTAATAATGATTTCTTTTAATAATTTGCATCATTTCATAAGTTTTTCTCACATTTCTTTCTTTTAGTCACAAACCCTATGCATCAAATGAGTAGTACAAGCAAGAAAAAAGTTTGTCAGTATTCACAAGAATATTTCTTCAATACAAAAGGAGCGATGGCATGGCTTTGTGATGAGACAGAAATAAATACCCAAATTCAACCTACTTTGCAAGAAGACTGCTGTTACTGTTCCTATCTTCATATTTAGCTGTGGTTTTAGTGCTGTAAATGATTTGGAGCCTAATACAAAATCTCTCTGTAGCAGGCATCAAGCACAAGGATCTCACTAACTTAAGTAGACTAAAGCTGCAATCTTACAACATTTTCCTGGGAGTAAGACCCAATGAAGACAATGGTACTTACTTCTGAGTAGACATGCATAGGATTGCATTGTAAATATGATTTTGAGGTGAGCTCAAATTGTATTTTGAATTTGTTAGGTACCTTTATTTTAATATGTATAGTAATTAATATGATCAAAATACTACAGAAAATGTTTTCATTAACATTATTTTATATTTATGCATTTTGGTTCTCTATTATATGTTTTGAAACTTTATTTGCTGTTTTTCATATCCATTCATACTATTATTTTTAAAGTTCCTCAGTACTTTTACTGACTTTTGTTTTTATTTTTCTTTCTTTTTTTTAATTAAAGAGTTTTACAGAAAGAAAAAAAAAACAATTTTTTTTACAAGTATTTCCCCATCTCCCCTCCCTTCCTTTATTCCCCCCCCCCCCCAACTTCCCAGAACAAAATACAGGGTATAACAATTAACATGCTGGCATGCTAAACTAAGCTAATAAACTAAGGATTCCTATCCCCCCCTTCACACTTTAACTCCCCTTTTACTAACTAAACATAAATACTCTTAATTTTTCTACTCATTCATAAGCTATTTGATACTTTTTAGTCCGATATTTGTTTTGAATATAATCAATCCATCTTCTCCATTCCAATATATATCTTTCTTGTGAGTGATCTTTCAAATATGCTGAAATGTTTGCCATTTCTGCCAGATTCGCTACTTTTAATGTTCATTCTTCAATAGTAGGCAAATCTTCCTTCTTCCAATATTGCGCCACCAAAAGTCTAGCTGCAGTTATTAAATTTAAAATCAATTTAGTCTCTATAACCGTACAATCTGTAATTATACCCAACAAAAACAATTGTGGAGTAAACTTTATCTTCTTTTTAAGAATATTTTGGATAATCCACCATATTTTAATCCAAAATGCTTTAACTTTTTTACAAGTCCACCATATATGATAATAAGTGGCATCATCACAATCACATCTCCAACACTTAGATTGTAAATTTGGATACATACAAGCCAACTTTTTAGGATCTAAATGCCATCTATAGAACATTTTATAAAAATTTTCTCTTAAATTTTGTGCTTGCGTAAATTTTACATTTCTAACCCATATTTTTTCCCAAGTTTCCATCATTATTGGTTCCTGAATATTTTGTGCCCATTTTATCATACAATCCTTAACTAATTCCGTTTCTGAATCTATTTCTATCAATAAATTGTGTAATCTTTTTATATGCATTTGACCTTGGTCTCTAATTTGTTTTACCAACTTTTCCTCGTTCTGCATGATACCAATTCTCTGATCTTCTTTCCATCTAGCTTGCAACTGACCATACTGAAACCAAGTTTGAATTATTCTTTCTTCTTTTAATGCGTTTAAAGATTTTAACTGCAATACCCCCCTTCCATTTTAAGAAGCTCTTTATAAGTAATCACCTTATATTCTCTATCACATGTCTGGGTATTGCCCATATAGGTATCTTATAATTTAACTTATATTGATACTTTTTCCAAACTCGTAACAAGGCATTCCTTAATATATGGCTTTTAAAGGTCTTATCCACCTTTTTATCATATAATAAATAAGCATGCCAGCCATATAACAAATCATATCCTTCAATGTTCAATATTCTTTCTTCTGTTGAGTTAATCCAATCACTAATTATTGTTAGGACAGCTGCTTCATAGTATAATCTTAAATTAGGCATTTTAAGACCTCCTCTTTCACGTATATCTTGCATTATTTTTAACTTTATTCTCGGTCTTTTCCCTGCCCTAACAAAATTATTAATACCCTTCTGCCATTCCCTCAAATTTTCATCTTTCTTGAGTATTGGTATCATTTGGAACAAAAATAGAAACCTAGGTAGAACATTCATTTTTATTGCTGCTATTCTTCCCAACAGAGATAATTGTAGTTTTCCCCAATTCTCCATCTCTTTCTGTATTTTTTGCCATAACATTTCATAATTATTTTTATATAATTTTACATTTGAGGCTGTGATATATACCCCTAGATATTTAACCTTTTTTACTATTTCAAATCCTGTTAGTCTTTCTAGTTCTTCTTTTTGCTTTGTCATCATGTTTTTAGTTATTATCTTTGTTTTTTGTTTATTTATTTTAAATCCAGACATTTGTCCATATTGGCTAATTATATCCATTAAACCTGTAGCTGATTGTACTGGTTGAGTTAAAGTAACATCCAAGTCATCTGCAAATGTTCTTAATCTATAATCATGATGTCTAATTTTAATTCCCTTTATTTTATTTGACCCTCGTATTTTATTCAGTAAAGGTTCGAAAGTTAAAATAAACAATAACGGTGATAAAGGGCATCCCTGTCTTGTTCCTTTTTCAATTTTAAAAGTTTCTGTTAAACCACCATTAATTATTATTTGTGCTGTTTGTCTCTGATATATTGCTCTAATAGATTGTGTATTCTCCAAAGTGCATCTTTTCTATTATTTTCAATAAAAATTGCCAATTCAATTGATCAAATGCCTTCTCCACATCCAAAAAGATAAGCGCTGCAGAGACTTGGTTGTTCCTTTCCAAGTATTCCAATAAGTTTACAATTTGTCTTACATTACCTTTCATTTGTCTCCCACTTATAAATCCAGATTGGTCATTATGAATCATTTGTTGCATGATTACCATTAACCTATTTGCTAATATTTTAGCAAAAATCTTGTAATCAGTATTTAAAAGCGATATTGGCCTATAATTCTTAGGTTGACTAAGGTCTTGATCCTCCTTTGGAATCAATGAGATAAAAGCTGTTCTCCATGAAGGGGGTACATCTCCTCCGGCTTGAATCTTGCAAAATAGTTCCTTAAGCGGTTCTACCATTTCTAACTGCAAATTTTTATAATAAACAGCTGTCAGTCCCTTTTATTTTTCTCTTTCATGGATGCCATGTTCTTTGGAATCTTGTTTAAACCAAGTTAATGGCCTTTTAGGCTTCCTCCACATGAATAGGAGTTCACTTTTTGAACAGTAAGAATTATATGTCATGGGAGGGGACATCGGGATTTTAGAGATGCTTAGGTGGGGCATGGCCAAAAAAAAGGTTGGGAACCACTGTTTTAGAGCAACAAAGATTAGGGGATTGGAGGATAAATCATGATGAATATTTGCAGAATGTAGGTTGTCTAGTCTAACAAAAAGAATGAGTAGTAGTCTTCCAATATTTAAAGGACTGCCACAGAGAGGAGGGGGTCAACCTATTCACCAAAGCACCTGAGGGCAGGACAATGGAAAGTTTGATAAGAAACTTATGAAAGAGAGATCCAGTCTAGAACTAAGGAGAAATTTCCTGACAGTGAGAACAATTAATCAGTGGAATGGCTTGCCTCCAAAAGTTGTGAGTGTTCCATCACTGGAGGTTTTTAAGAAGAGATTGTTTAGAGGACTTCCGGTCGGCACCGCAGGCTTCGTGGACGGTCTCCTTAGACCGCCAGCCCCGTGACTTCGTAAAAACCGCTTTGACAGCGCAAATCGGCTGTCTGGCGGCTGAAAAACCTCCCCTTTGGGAAAAGAAGGAGAGGAGAGCCGGTGGGTGAGAGTAGAGCTCCCCGAAAGTCCTCTGGAATAATTCCAGAGGCTTGGAGGGTGAGAGCTCCCCAGTCAGCCCGCCAAGAAGCTCCGAATCTGGGACAACTCTGTGTAAGCAGAGCTAGAAGCCGCGTCCGGTCCTGCTGTCAAAAAGTGAGTCTGATTGATTACAAGCGCAGGCAGAGCAGAAACAGGAGAACAAGTAACAGAGCTTAACTCTGGATTTACTTTGTTTCAAACTGAATTTCTTTGAGCTGGAGGCTGAAGATGGCGTCTTTGTTATGGTTTTGAAAGTGAAAGAAACGAAAGTGCTTATTGAGAACTTTGCATTGTAAGAGTGGATTAAAGCTGCTGGGAAGTGAGAACTTGTGGAGAAAAGACTATTTTGCCTGATAAATTAGAGACTATAAATTACAAGCATTTTAAAGTTGCATATGGACTACTCAGAGGGCTGAAAAAGTTATTTCTGACTGGTCCTCGCACTTTTGACCAGTCCTCAAACTTACGACTGTCCTCACATTTTACATTTTTGCCCTATCTTGTCACCATGGTGAAGAGAAGCAGTTGTGAAATGAGTGACACGGTTGTTAAGAATGCTACAATGGGCATAAATGATGATCAGTCATAAATGCGAAGACCGGTCAAAAGTGCGAGGACCTGTCAGAAATGACTTTTTTCAGCCCTCTGGGTAGTGCACATGGACAACTCAGAGGGCTGAAAAAGTTATTTTTGACTGGTCCTCGCACTTTTGACCAGATCTCGAATTTACGACTATCCTCACATTTTACGTTTTTTGCCCTATCTTATCACCATGGTGAAAAGAAGCAGTTGTGAAATGAGTGACATGGTTGTTAAGAATGCTACAATGGGCATAAATGTGAGGATGATCATAAGTGTGAGGACCAGTCCAAAGTGCGAGGACCTGTCAGAAATGATTTTTTTCAGCCCTCTGAGTAGTCCCTATACACATAGCCATGGCCACCCAGTCACATGACCAGCTAGCCACGCCCACCCAGTCACATGTCCTCCAAGCCACGCCCACAAAATAAGCCACGCCCACAGAACCGGTAGTAAAAAAATTTAGAACACACCCCCTGGTTGGGGGTCACCACAACATGAGGAACTGTATTAAAGGGTCGCGGCATTAGGAAGGTTGAGAACCACTGCTTTTGGAGAACAGCTTTTGTTTCACTGATTCCGAAGGAAGATCAAAATTGTATCAAACCTGAAAATTTTAGGCCAATTTCACTTTTGAACACTGATTATAAAATTTTTGCTAAGATATTAGC